TCTCCTTCCCTCATTCGTTCTCAACAGATTAATTACATTTGCTTGTTCCTCTAATTGATTTCTCATGTCATCAAACCTTGAATTCATATGTTCGAACAGTTGTTGCATAGCCCAAAGTGTGAACAACACATCAGTACCATCCTCCTCAACTACTCATTTATCCTTGGAAGTCATGTTTTATAACCTGAAAAAAAAATGTTAGAAATAGCCTCTCAAACATTCCCTCACGTGTTTCACTCGTTTCAATGTCACTCAACCCTCACATTTACACTTGTATTGGCTTTTCTTAAGATAAGCTCACACATTCAGCCTTTTACCACTAAAATGTTTCAGCTTTGTCATTCTTTCACAAACTACTAAAAACTCAACCAAAAACCAACCGTTCCCACAACGCACAACAACCTAACAAAAAATAAGACACAAATATTGAAGGAAGGACCAGAATTAACAATGAAAAATAGAGAACAACAACGATAACATGAAAATGAAACAAAGAAACACAAAAAAAAGCAAAGAAAAAAAATTCAGCGAAAACTAAGCAAAGCAATGATTCAAAAGCAACAAATGGATCAAGAATGGGGTTAAATTCAATAGGATGAGTTGTTTTGGGATAACAAATGCGTGTTGATTATTCTGGTTCAAATCTCAACACAAATCAGCCCTAAAGCAAACTGATTAGTCTCAATTTGATTCTTTCCTTTTTTTTCTTCCTTTTTTTTTTTTGGATATCAGATCACAAAAGAGACAAACTACTCACATTTGGGTAGCAGACTTCAGAATCGATTCACATGCAAGTTATGTATTCAATTCTGCCCATATTATGCGACCCTAATTGATATTAAAATTATAACAACTGAAACTTTAGCAGCAAGTCACGCCCCAAATCGCAGAATAATTACGCAGAAAAAAGAGAAGGATAAAAAAAAAACCCTAATTTTTTTTTTGATGAGAGTAAACAGAAAAGGAATCACCAAACAGCAGCAAGAAACCTAACTTGGACAGATTATATGCGCACAAAACAAAGATAACCAACCTGATTTGAGAAAAAACAAGACCTGAGTGCTCTGATACCAACTGATGCGAACCCATAAACGAATTCAAGAACCCACGACAAATTGATTGAAGACTCCCAAAGAACGTTCACAAATCAGATTATAAGAACCAAGAACCCAGACCCAATGTTTGCAAGAAGCAAGAGCCCAAGGTTAAAAGTTCAAGAGAAAGACGCCACACTCAAGATTGAGAAATAATTCGATGAACACTACAATAAATATTAATTCTTTATAAGTTCTTGAAATAGTTCTTAGAAGAACAATAAGGTAGAAACCTCACAATCCTCATAAAAATATTCTGTCTTTTACAATGCTTACTGGTTAAAGAAATATCTCTTACTTGTTGGTGAAGAAATAGCTCTTACTTTCCTAAAAGAGAAAAACACAATCAACCCTTTAATATGCTGATCACATGCCTAATTAAACCAGGAAAGTCTTTCTTTCCTAAACATAATAACTCACACGCCTAAATAGATAAGGAAAGTCTTACAATAAAGCCAATTTTAAACATGCCAATTTTAAGCTTAGCCTTTTGACGGAATCTTCTAGAACTTGAATCATGTTGATGGATCTTCGTTGCCCAGGTGGATCATGCCCCATGGTTGAACTTTAACAATCGTCTTGAATCAGCCCGTTCAATGCCTCCTTCATCCTTTTTGCGCCCGAGTCATCGGACCTCCATTTATGCTCAACAGATCAGATTGCATTGAATCATCCCCCACCCCCCACTAAAAAAAGGAGAAACTTCAAGTGTTGAAGATGAGTCAAGTCCTACCACAAAGGCAGATGGACTTTGATATTGAAGTTTCTACTAGTGACAATAAGGCTGAGAGTGTTGAGGAACTCCAAGTTGCATACAATCATTATATTAGGAGTGTCTCCAACAAAAGAAGAAGTTGCTTTCATTGAACACTAGGCTCAAATCAATTGATGATAATAAGAAAGCACTCCTTGTGGGAAATTCCAATGCTCATATTTGTGGGCTTGAGAAGGAGAAGTCCCTCCAAGACCAAATGAGATTTCTTGAGCGTGAGGACTAATGGATTGTAGAGTACTCTATAGGGAAGAGTGTGGGTGACAAAAGAAGCTCAGGCTACACAAATGGAAACACCACCCCCATTTCTTCTAAGGCCGTGTTTATTAAGGGTAATCCCCCAACCCATCACCCCCACGAGTGAACACAAGTCTTCAAAACACAAAGAAAATGGTAAGGAAGGAATAAGGTTTTTAAATCACTTGTGTGTTTTACTTGTGGTGAATACGGTTATTATAGTGGAGATTGCATTCATAATAGGAAATCTTAAATAAGAAACTCATGCATCTAGTACACTAATCTAAGGCTTTAAATGACCAAGTTATATTTTTTCTAATCCTTTTGAAAGTTCAAGTGAGTCTACGCATACCCATGCATCATCATCAAAAGGCACACATGCTAGAGTGCACAAAGCCCTTATTCCCAAGATCAAGATTGAGCCCTTATTCCCAAGATCAAGATTGATCTACAGACTTCTGGAGAGAAGAAAGTTAGTCATCTACCCATTCCTCAACTAAACTCGAGTTTTTGGAAGTAAAAACAAATGTAGGTGACTAGGAAGGATTTTGAGATACTCAGCGTCTCAAACAAGTTTGATGCCTCGAGTGCTTCCAATAAGGTGAATCACTTAAGAAGTAGGTGAGGTGAGTAGTATTGACCTAGGTGTATCATTCATGCATTGCATCAAACACCCCAGGGGTCATACATTGTATATATTTTGATTTGTTTTCTAATGAGAAAAACCAAAAAATATTAAAATTTTGAAAAATAAAAAATAAATAAATTTAAAAACCCAAAAGAGTTTTGATGTTAAGTTTAACTTTCTTTTTAGGATTTATGATTAATTGATCTATTTTTCCTTTGTTTATTGCATGTTTGCACATATTTTTATGTTTATATGATACTTGAAAATTTCAAAAAATATTGGAAAAAGGTTTTCTTTTGTTTATTTTCATTTGTTATTGATCATGGTAATTCACATTTTAGTTTGCTTATAATGATTCCATCTTTGAATCAGAGTTGGAATATACATTGCTATGAGTCATATTAGGGGATACAGAACTTAGTGGTCATAAATCTTAGTACAAGATCCATGAACCATAGTCTCTTTCATTCTAGCGTGCTTGAATAGTGTTTCCTTTGAAAAATTCAAATACCAAGTACATGCCAACAATTTACCATCATACTTACAAATCTTGTTAGTTTAAACGACAGCCTCAATCCCTTAAAAGATGTCAAATGAGCCAAATTCACTAATGAATTTTAAAACTCAAAGAGCTCATGCTAAACACATTTAGAAGCATATTTATGAAGTACAAAATTCACAATCATGCTAATTGAAGCCATAAGAGGAGAAGGAATAAAAGATATGGAGAGTTGTCTAAAATAAAAATGATTAGGACACTAACTAACTGATCAAAGATTCATTTGGAAGATGCATTAGGATTTCATGTAGAGCTTTATTATTGATTTGAACTAAACAGAATCTTAATGACGTTAGAGCTTGGTTTCACACACTTTACACTTGAATTTGTCAAAGTTGATCAAAATTTGAACACGTGTAAGTGGAATTGAACTAAAGTGAAGGTACATTACTCTATGATGCATGAAATTGAGTTCTATGTTCTTCAACAAACCTTATAGTAATTATGGGATGATGAAATTTGGATGGAACCATTAAAATGTGAACATATGTGATTTTCATGAAAAAAGACATCGTGCATTTTAATTTGTAATTTGAAATTACATTATATTTATATCCAATTTCATTCATGCATGTGCATTTAAGTTGTACATACATCCATTCATGCATTCTGAGGCTCAACTGAATGATTGGAAATGGGAAAATGGGCTGGACAGTAGACAAAATTTTGGATACTTCAGGGGGCTATCAAGTGACACTTGACACTGCTTGAGCGACCTGTATCAATTTTGGTCCAATAGGATTTAAAGACAAGATTTTTGATAGTTCCACTTCATATTTTTTCTTTTCTAACACGAGCTCATCTCTCTTGGTGGACACCGATAGCATTCTCTTGCGCTATAACAAGTTATTGAGTGAGTTTTAGTGCATTTCAATTTTGATTCGATATTATCATTCATATTTGCACAATTTCACCAATTATTTTTGGGAAAAGCCACCAACAGCCGAAAAATAGGCAAAGGTAATGCATCCAATGAGAGAAGCCACAACCAGACCTCACAGTATTGTGAGCCATATAGGAGATAGTTTGCTTCGAGGCTTGTTTTGCAAAGGTAACACTACTATCTCTTTGAACTTTGAGTCACGAGGTTGATTGAGATATTTGTGACTCATATGCCAACAATGGTAGATATAGTGAGGGAGTTCTATACACACATTAGGAACACCAATGAATACAGCAAGCATTTTCAGACGTACCGTTGATGTGTGTTGCTCGAGTTCTCCACTAACTTGATTGTCACCAGCCTACACCTACCCTAGGTAGCACGTGATTCATATCGTCAAAGATCCAAGAATGATATATCCAAGCTCCACGATGTTGCATCCGTGCTATATGGTGTCTCCTTATCCTGATGGATGGAACCAACAAAAGTCGTACCACTAGAACTTGAATAGGGAGTAGCAGATTACTAATTTGATAATCAAATACAATATTAACCAGAAGACTCACACGTGTCTACCTTCCCTAAAGCATGAGCTTACCTTTTACATGTTATTGGGATGGGTGTGCAGATTGGTTTGCCAGGGTTATATTTAGAGTCATTTAGGGACCCTTTGATGAGGGTAGGATTAGTGATGACCTACCTTTTGGATCTTTATCACCCAAATTTGTCTGGATAAGGGTGTGACGGCTTTAGAGACTAATTAAATACTAAGACCAAAGAGACCTTTTGGAAGGAGTTGCTGAGACAGAGTGAGACTCTTTAACCCCATGGAGATAGAGGTAAAGGACGATGACATGGAGGCTGACATTCATTCTACTACTATTGACTCTAGAATATCGAGTTGTACACCACAACTGAGCCGTACAGGAGCTAGCACCTCACATGCACCACCACCTAGGACTCCGCAGCCAGCTTCACTTGACCAGTGGACTGCTATCATGACTGCATTAGGTAAGGTTCATACCAACATTTTTCATGTTCAGTCCAGTATAGAGATACAGCACAGTACATTGCACCTTTCAAGAGGTCAAAGAGCCATGCAGAGGGAACTTAGGCGTGTCAGGCAGATAATTCAAAATATCAACTTCATTGATGATAATGGTGAGCTAGATATACAATCATAGGATGGTGGAGACGGTGACAATGGCGGAGAGATGCTACGAGAAGAGCTTCTTAGGAGACTTAGTATAGGACCATATGGAAGTTTATGAGAGTTATTTATTCGTTGTATGTACTTAAAGTACTTTATCTTTTTCTTGTTAACTTTTCCTTCTTATTGACTTTGCATGTGTTGCTATTTTTTGTTTGTTGTGACATAGTCTTAGTCCTTGTTCCTTGATGCTTTATTAGGTGAGACTTTGAGTTATATGTCTTTTTTGTCCTTTCCTTGCTTTGCATGCCTATTTTAGCTAGTTGGATTGTATTTATACCCTTTTGTTATACCATGACTCTATGTCGTTTGCTATGATTTGTCCCTTGATTGACATTTTGTGACAAATAGGAAAGAATATGTTGGGATGACTTGATTTTTTACCTGATTGTTATGATATGTCATTGGTTTGCTTTGAGACAAAAAGGAAGAAAATATTTTGGGTACATATGGGAGAATTCAGGGAGATATTCTCTTACCTGGCTTAGTGAGTTGCATGTGAATAGAGTTAAGGGGAAGTTCATTCTGATACTCAAGAGGGGAGTACATTTACAAACTAGGCAAGAACTCAACTATTTTTCACTTATTATTTTACTTGTGAGCACCAACTAAAGGGAAGAACTAGTTGAGCATTGTCATTCTATATCTAAAGGATCTCAAGCACATTGAGCAGGGTAGTTCTTACATATGTTCCAGATTTACACTGGCATGATGTGAACATGAATATTCCCTATGCCTATCTTGGTGATTTCCATACTATGATTATGTTATATTTATCATACATAATATGCTTTTTCACAATGTATTGGTTTTGTGGTGGTGTGAAGGACCATGGTCTTCAAAGCTACATCTAGAAGATAGTCCTAGTACTTAGAGATGAGAACTTATCCACTAGTGTTGAGATTTGTTTAAAATTCATTTTGTTCAATGATTTGTCGGTTGTAATTTTAATTTTTTATTTGTATTTTTTGTCACAAAATTGCCAAAAGTGAAGATTGTTAGGTCATGTTTTGTAATTGTCTAATTTCATTCAGTCTTTAAAAATATCGACATGTTCCACGGTCATGATGCTTCAACGATGAAGATCCGAATGCGTTATTTGAAGGGAGGAGATCATATATCAAAGCCACATCAAAAGCACTCCGAATGCACCTTATTGCTCAAGATAAGGTTGATGCAAATCATAGCACAACTTCAAGTGATTTAGTTCAAGTTCCAATTGGGCCGGTTATGAGAGCACGAGCAAGGAAGTTTAAAGAGGTACTCAATGGACTGATTCAAGAGGCATGAAATCAAGCAAGTTCGTGGAGGCCCATTGACCATGATCCTCTTGGGCAACAAAGATTCATCAACATGATTCAAGTTCTAGAAGAATCTAGCTAGGGTTAGGCTTAAATTGGCCAGTTGTTATTAACACCACCAATTTGTTTAAAAGGATTATTATTACAAGTGGGCTTGAGGAAGCTTAGCCCACATGTTTTATTTCTTATGAAGTAAGGTTTTCAAAGTTACTGTAGTGCTGCACTATTCATGCTATAGTACGTGCACTATTCACACTTTTGGGGTTTAATTGTAAGGCTTCTATGCCAAGTACTTTCCTTTTTTCTATTGAGGCATGTGATCAGCCAATTAAAGGGCTGAAAGTCTTTCTTTTCCTTCAAGAGTCTTAGGAAAGTAAGAGATATTTCTTTACCAACAAATAAGAGATATTTCTTAAATAGGATAGCTAATTTTAGGAAGTTTACTAATCCTTGTAATGACCAGCCTATAACTAGGCATTCAAATCAATGAAAAGGCAGATTATTATTTAGCAAATTGTGAGTGTTATTCTCTACGGTTCTTTGAAGAACTAAACGAACATATAGGGATTTTTCGTGCCGTTCACCAGTGACTTATCAAACGGGTTTCCACACCATTTGTGGCGTCTTCCTTTATACCGAGGTTCTTGTTTCACAAACAGTGGGTTGAGGTTTATATACCAACGTTCTTGTTTGTGGTAAACAACGGGTCGAGGTCTAGCATCAAATCTGATCGTACAACGATCTTGGGTTCGTTTTCGTTGTTTGGTTCTCATTATTCTTGGCGGGTTTCATATCATTTGGTATCAAAGCCAAGGCTCGAGTTCAGGTTTGCCTATCACTTAAAACATTTCTCTTCGTTATTCTGTGTTCTTTTAGTTCCTAAAAATTCGGTTCACAAACCCTAGTGTAGCTGAATTTCCTTTACCCCATTCCACTCGAATTTTGTTGGTTCTACTTATTACAAATTCATATTATGTTACCACAAAAAGTTAGTTGTTGTCAAAAAAAATAAAGGGCAGAAAGAAGTCAAAAAGAAAAAAAAAAAAAGAGCCAGAGACAATATATAATGAATTTTGATTGTGAGTTGAGTTGAGTTTACTCCTCTTGTTCTGGATTGAATTTTTGAACTTATCAAAGGTAAATCACAACCTATGTGGCGTTCCTCCCTATAATCTGGGTTCTTGAGAAGGGTTCTTCAATGGGTCTGGATTTTAATATAATCTTGGTTCTTGAAACGAGTTCTCAACGGGTTTATGTTCTCCGTCCATAGATCTGAATTTGGATTTCTTGGGTTGTATTTCCAATACTATTGTTGAGTCTCAAAGCAAGACTATTGGGGTTCACATCATTTGGTATCAAAAAGAGAGTGATCAAAAGAAAGAGAGTGAACCAAAGAAAAAGAAAAGGAGTGAAAATCAGAGAGAGGCCAGGAAAAATGAGAGAGGAAAAGAAAATCAAAATTCGGCGATTGAAAAATAATCAGAGAAAAAACAAAAGAATTTTTATGCAAAAGTGAGTGAGATTAAGTGAGCCATGTTTTCAAATCAGCCGATGATTGTACTTTTGTACAAAGAGGCACTTTTAAACACCGACGAACTTGACCTTGCTTTGCCTAGTTCTGTTGTTTCTCTTTTGCAGGAGTATGAGGATGTCTTTCCTGAGCAAACACCACATGCGTTACCACCAATCCGAGGGATTGAACATCAAATTGATTTAGTTTCCGGTGCGACGATTCCAAACCGACCAGCCATAGGAGCAATCCCGAGGAGACAAAGGAGCATCAACGGCAGGTAAGTGAGTTGTTGGAGAAAGGGCACGTGAGGGAGAGCATGAGCCCATGCGCTGTTCCGATTTTGGTTGTACCTAAGAAGGATGGGACGTGGAGAATGTGCACGGATCTTGTGTATTTTCTAAGATTGTCTTGAAGAGTGGTTATCATCATATTAGAATAAAGAAGGAGACGAATGGAAAACAGCCACTAAAACAAAATATGGTTTGTATGAATGGTTAGTTCTGCCCTTTGGATTAACTAATGCTCCGAGCACCTTTATGAGACTTATGAATCATGTTTTACGTGCATTTATAGGCAGATTTGTTGTTGTCTACTTTGATGATATACTCATTTATGGCAAAAACATGGACGATCATGTAATACATTTAAAATCTATTTTAGATGTGCTTAGGAAAGAAACGTTGTTTGCTAATCTGAAGAAGTGTACTTTTTATACCTATAAGCTTTTATTTCTGGGATATGTTGTTAGTGCACAAGGTATACAGGTTGAAGAAGAGAAGGTACGTGCAATCCAAGAATGGCCGAGTCCCACAAGTGAAAGTAATATTCGTAGTTTTCATGGACTTGCTAGTTTCTATCAGCGAAAAGGACTTTAGTAGCATAGCCGCACCACTTACCGAAGTGATCAAGAAGAATGTTGGACTTAGATGGGGAGAAGAACAAGAAAAGGCGTTTCAATTAATCAAAGAGAAGCTGACCAACACCCCCTTATTGTCTTTACCTAATGTTTTGAAACGTTTGAGATTGAATGTGATGCTTCAGGTATTGGCATAGGAGCAGTACTTATGCAGGAAGGGCGACCAATTGCTTACTTCAGCGAGAAACTAAGTGGGGCAACCTTAAACTACCCAACTTACGATTAGGAGTTGTATGCATTGGTTTGAGCTTTAGAGACTTGGCAACACTACCTATGGCCTAAAGAATTCGTGATTCACACCGATCATGAGTCCTTGAAACAGTTGAAGGGCCAACACAAGCTAAATAAAACGCATGCGCAATAGGTGGAGTACATTGAGACGTTCCCATATGTCATCCGATATAAGCTAGGTAAGGAGAATGTGGTCACCGATGCACTTTCTTGCAGGTATGCATTACTCTCTACACTTGATGCAAAATTCCTTGGTTTTGAGTACATTAAAAATTTAAATGCTGATGATCACGAAGTACCGGGCTTGTGAGAAATTTGGTTGTGGTAAATTCTTTCTGCTTGATGGATTCCTGTTGCGAGAGAACAAGTTATGCTTGCCTAATTGTTCCTTGAGGGAGTTGTTAATGCACGAATCTTATGGTGAGGGATTAATGGGACATTTTGGTGTTGCAAAGACTTTAGCGGTGTTGCAAGAACACTTCTATTGGCCTCACATGAAAAGAGATGTGGAGAGAATTTGTGGTAGATGTGTCACATGTAGGCAAGCTAAATCAAGAGTGCGGCCCAAATGGTTTGTATACTCCTTTACCAATTCCTAGTGAGCCATGGATTTATAATTGAATGGACTTTGTGTTAGGATTGCCTAGGACTAAGCGTGGGAGAGATTTTCTAAGATGGCACACTTTATTCCATGTCACAAAACGGATGACGCTTCACATGTGGCTGATTTGTTCTTTAGAGAGATTATGAGATTACATGGCATGCCTAGAACAATTGTTTTAGATTAGATTGTTTGTGTTCATCCATTGCCCAAAATAAAAAGTCAGATTGTTTGTAAAT